TGCGCCGCTCCGCTGCTCGGGACCGCGGGTGACTCACTGAAACTTCACTTCGGCGCTGCAGGGGAAACAGGAAATCTTAAACTTCGCAAACAGCTGGGCAGGACTTTCTTACTCTTACAGTAGTTCCTTCTCCCCCTTCTCACAGTCACCCCCTCCCCTGCTCTCGCCCTTTTTCTTTCCTTTTTCTTTTTTTTTTCTTCCTTTTAACATGAAACCTCACCCAGTTTGGTGTCAATCATCTGCCAGAGGCCAGCCCCTCTCAGGTCTGGCTCTCCCACCACAAGCGCGCCGGGGCCAGCCCCGACGTGCAGCCCGGATGGCTGCGCCTGCCTCCCTCCGAGGCGGGGACCGGGCCCGGGCACCCGCCCGGAGCTGCACCGTGCCGTGCGGGGAGCCTCAAGGTCGACAGGAAACCGCCAGCTTGGAGGGCTACTGCTCCCTCCCTGCGAGTTGAAAAGGACCCAGTCGAGTCATTTGGGACATGGGGACTTTGCAGAGCTCCTCCCCGCATCCCTATCCCTGACCTTAGCGATGCTGCTGCAGCAGCCTGTTTCCTCCTCTGCAGAAGGGGTATCGGAAAGAAGGACGTAGCCTGCAGATGAACTAAAGCAGGGAGCAGGGAAGGTTGAAGTCGGGGTAACAGCAGGAAATATTCACACAGACTAACTGGGCACTCAGCTTGCAGATGTTGAAGCTGACTGGAACAACTTGCCACCTGCTGCTTGTTTTGCTCCCAAATAGGCTGGTTGTGCACTACTTTACCTCAAATGCTGTGCATGTGACACAAATGTCTCCATCCCTCTCCAAAGGAACTTCTACCAGAGATTTTGCCTTCTCTACAAGGCGGAAGTTGCACCCAGGATTCAGAGAGTAGGAGCACACTGGTGATGCCAGCTTTTCATGGCCCTCTTTGAGATTGTAAGAATCATTCAGTTTTGAACCTGAATAAGGCTTGAGCTCTCTGCCAGTATAAATCCAGTCACTGCATAGCCAGCAGTTGTATTGAGACCCATTTTCAGCTCACAGTCTTCCTTCCTCTCTGATTTAAATGGCTGGGCATTGATTGAAGGGTAAACTGATGTACATAGGGATAATTTGAGGACGATTGCTCCAATGTTGTTGATTCACTTTTGTCTCAGTTACAATATTAGTTAGAGGTACAGATCTGGGTATTTCAGAAAGAGGGCTAAGCCCTCGGGGCAATATATGTAATTCATGCTCTGAATGTCCCAGATCACCTCTGTTTGAATTTGGAAATGTTTGCATAAAGAATTTAATTGGCCTATAACAGACATTAAAAAAAATAATTGTGCTTTTATGTAAATTTAGTTTTAAACACTCCCTAAATGCATATTTTCACCATGAAGTCTCAGTTTACTGTACAAACTCTCATAAACCTCTCTCCAAGAGCATTTTCCTCTCCCTCACCCTCTTTTAATATAGTCAAGATTCACTCAAACATGTGGTGGTCACCACCCTCCAGAGGTAAGAAAAGTTGCAGACTCCCTTTTGAGCATAGACTGGAGTGTTCTTATCAATTCCTGTGCACCAGCTCTGTGCTAGAAGGTGGCTGTGTTTGCAGTATCCACTTAAACAAAAGCATTTCTCAACTCCCACAAGTATATACTGTGTGCTGTACACTGCTCTCTCCTCAGAGCTGTCAAGTCACAGGTGCCAAAGAGTTGCTGTTTGCTTAGAAAGTTGGCTGTGTGTGCTGAGCTCTCCTATTAGTTTCTGGTGACTACCTTCCAAGATGAAAAAGAAGTTTAAAAGCAAACAAGTACAGATTTAATATTACTGTTCAAACCTGTCACAATCCAGGCGTGACTTGGCAAGCCTGACACTGTCTCACTAGCATCTCTCTCCCTCACATGAGTGCTGTGGCTCTTTTCCAATATAGGCATATTCTGCACAGTCTCTCTCATCCAGGGTCTGGCAGTAAGTGATGGAGACTGGCAGGAGATGGAGCCTTTGGGAAGGGCTGTATTCGGGTTTCCAATGGTCTCAAATCCTCGAGTGCAGCCAGGCATCCCTGCCCCTTTTCTCACATGAGGTGATACAGCACCTGTTACCCAGCAAGTGAGGAGTCTACTATAAGTAGACTTCAGGAATTTGATATTTCCATGTAAGAACTGCCTTTATTTTTACAGGTCATCATGCAGTGAGGATTGTGCTACAGCTGAGCTTTGAGTGTTTAGAGAACCCCAGTGAGAGATGTTACTAGAATGTTTTTGTGTGGAAGGAAATCTTACCTGGATATCCTCAGGGGAAGGGTAGTGTATCTTTGTCACCAATAGCCTGTGTGGAAGTCAAAGTAAAGCCAACTTTGGGTCACAGATTTATCCCAGACAGGCTCATTAGTGAAAACACATATTTTGCCTTTTTGAGTACTACAAGCCTCCCTTTTAGGGCCCAAATGCAGCTTAATCAGGATTCCCTGGACAACCAAAATATATGAAACAAGACCAAGCTGGTAATTTCTTTCCATTTCCTTGTTCATAGCTCCCAGTTCCCTGTTTTCAGATAGCAGTTTCTTCTAAATTGAAACTGTGAGTATTTAACCTCAGCCTGACTGAGGTAGAGGAAGAGTCCTCTTCAAAAGTGGGAGATTAATGGTGTAAATAATAATCTCCAGCCTGACAGGGTAAGAGAAGACAGCTATTTGAAAAGGCAAAATATCAAAGCACTGAATATTGTGTTTTCTTTCTGAGCCTTGGAAATATATACTGAGAACGCAAACAATTTAGTACCTCTTGTATCTCAGGGTCTCCTAGTGAAAACATGCTAACTGCTCCTTGCTGCAGGTTTTAAGTATAGCTTTTAAAACAGTCCATTAAACTACCGAGTATAAATGATCTCTCTTTGTTATTCTAACTATTTTCTAGCTTTCAGTATCTTATTTCTGTCAAGATCCCACATGAACTACAGCATTATCCTTGTAGAAAACCACTTTCAAGCTTCTACAAAACATTCATTGTTACAAAAAAGCTGTTGTTTCACTGTACTTAACATACACTCAAAACCATTCTGCTCACAGCCACAAGCTGCTGATGTCCACAATAAAGCAATTATTTTGATTAGTTTATTAACTCCAGTGTTGCTTTATGTAACAATCCCAGAACAAGATAGTTCCCAGATGCAGATTTAAGTAAGGCCTATACAGTTGCACTAACACAACATAATATTCATGCCTGTGTAGAGCTGATATATGTGGTGTGGGGTGAGACATCTCAACTTACTATAGCTGCCTAAAAGTTAGCCTTGGTCTGAAGTTCCAGGAGATGGCTGAGAGAATCTGTCGCCTTTCTCACCATCTGATGGAGCAGTCCTGTTTGTTTCACTGTGATGGGATAGTCCCAGATCGGGTTCAAGAACCAGAGGATGGAGGACAAATGCTGGATGAACAGAACTGCCATTTTGGTGGCAGCAGGCTATTAGGTCACCCACATTCCCTTGATCATCCAAGGAGAGAAAAGAATCTAGATATTTTAAAAACCTTCTAAACACAAAGAGCTGATGATAAGGAGCATAATTAGCCCAGACATCTACTTGGTAGGTATCTGATGTTAGATGACATGAATCCTAAAGAAAATGCCCTTTGAATTGTATACATCACATAAAGTAAGCTACATGATGCTTTACCCATTGGCAGTCATTGGAGTTAATGACTGTGATTTTTGTTTGGAATGACACGAGGCAACCAGGTACACAGTATGCTGATATTGCCTTACTGAAACGATTTATGAAGTAACTAGAAGAAGTAGCTTGGCCCAAATAAAAACATTGATGACTCTGGACAAGTTTTGTCATAACTACTTTCAAAATAAAAGTAGCAAATCTGCTTGAAAAACTGGCATGCCCCATTTTGATGTTTTCATAGTGATACAAATTGGCTTTTTGAAGGAGGCTATTAGTTTTGGGTTTTTTTTGTTCTCTCCATGTTACATATGAAAAAAGAACATGGGAACAATATCTGACACTGATTTCACTACAGTTAGGCAAGAAGTTTATTTTTCAGAGAAATTTTGGCATTTCAGTTCAAATTCAAGTCAAATTTTGTAAGCCTGTATTATTTGAAACTCAAAACCTCCATTCACTGCAGCACTCTGTTCACGAAACTGACATTTGCCTGCTAATTTTCAAATTGAGGGTGCTTGGCATGGAGCATTAGCCTTTCAGCATCC